AGGGCTATCATCTCCAAAAGGTCCAGGCACCCCTTGGTCCAGAAGGAATGGCATCCCCCAACAGAGGTTGGGGGAGGATGGGCAAAGTGTTTCCACTCAGCCTGTGGCTTTGAGAGCTGTAGGCAGGACCTCCTGGGATGCCTGATACTCCCAGTCTGGTGGGGAAAAATGACTAACCTCTAGGGGCAGCATCTTGGGGGCCAGCCCTCAAGGACCGTGTGTCATTAGCAGGAGGGGACTGGTACCCCAAGGTTCTCTGCACTAACCAAGGAGCAAAACATTTGGGGACAGCCATCTTCTCTTCTACCATACAGCTTAAATCACATTTTCCTCTTCTGGGGTATTTAGAAGCTTAGTGTGAATATCTACACGTGCTTTTTTGAGATCCTCTGATGAAAATGCAATACCAATGCAAACATTCCTGTCAACACTGTAAATATTTTCATGACCACAGCAGAAGTGCCGTGGCTAGGCAGGCATAGATGCACATTGCACCTTCTAATATTCCTAAGAGAACTAGCTGAGGGTTAACAGTAAGTGTGCAGGAGTGAGAAGTCGATTGTGGCAGGGGAAAAACGGGAAAAGAGTTCAGCTAAACGAAAGACAGCCCTGCTCTGCTGCCCAGCAGGTGTGATGCCTGCCCACACTGAGGCTCGAGCCAGACACAGGCTTCCCCTCCAGCACCAGCTCCACATGTGACAACCGATGGCGCAGGTGGCACAAGCCCAGGCCCAGCCTTCATGAAGAAGTGAACTGTTTCCGGGCATGCTGCTGTCCCACCAGCACACAGCTCTAGCTACTGACTGAGGCTTCCCCCCGAGTCTGTCAGCGACAGTGTGTCAGGGGCTGACAGGTGCCTCGGTCACACAGGAGCAGGCTACAGCTGGGGGAGGGAGGGGCGAGAGGGGACAGGGGAGATGCATGTCCAGGCAAGATTTTTCACCATCCTGGGGCCTGGGATTTTTCCTGGCAAGAGTAACCAGCCAGGCTGAATTTACAGCAGTTTCTTAATTGCTCCCTAGCAATAAGCAGAGTTGGCAATAACTACCAGACAAGTATAAATGATTTCCCAGGTACAAGGTTAAAGACAACCTCTACATTTTCTCCTTTAATCTTCAAAACAAGCCTGTGAGGTAGTGCTGCCACCTCAGTTTTACAGATAAAGCTCAGAGAGGTGAAAATGACTTGTCCGAGGCAATACACCTAATAAGCGACAAAGCTAGGGTCTGAATGCAAGAATTTTAACTCCAAAGCTGTTATTTCAACTGCAAGGCTGTGTTCTCCCCTGTGATCAAAAAGCAATCATTAGGGTTCTTAAATTTTGTTGTTCTCTTGGTTGTTAAATACCTGAGCCATGCTACTGTCAAAAAGAAGGTAGCAAGCTTCTTTTTTTTCCCCAACTAATGACTCTGTTTTGGTCCATGCCTCTAATGGATCTTATTCAAGGCAGAAGTACTTTTAAGTCAAGATGTGCACCGAAGTGTGCACCACCCAGACCTCCCATCCCAGGCTTGCACTTTTTCCTTCTTTTTCTTTTTTTTTGAGACAGGGTCTCGCTCTGTCACCCAGGCTGGAGTGCAGTGGCATGTGATCACAGATCAATGTAACCTCAAACTCTTTGGCTCAAGTGGTCTTCCCACCCCGGCCTCCCAAGTAGCTGGGACTACAGGCACGCGTCACCATGCCTGGCTAGTTTTTTTTTGTAGATAAATGAGGCAGGTGGTGTGGGGCTGGTCTCCAACTCCCGGCTCCAAGTCATCCTCCAAACTCTGCCTCCCAAAGTGCTGGGATTATAGGCTTGAGCTGCTGCAGCCAGCCTGGCCCACATGCCTGGTGTCTGTTTGGGACTGTCTCCAGTCTCTCTCTACTTTCCAGTCTATATTCCAGACTGTGGACATTACACAACTTGAAAACTTAAGTTAGTTGAAAATCTCCAGCAGCTCCTCGCCACCTCCAGAATGAAGCCCTCTGGGACAAGTCCTCTGCCTAGCTGTTACTGCTAGGCAGCTGTGTCCCCTTGCCTCTCTCTAACTAGTGGCCCAGGCCACATACTCTGTTCCCTGAACACGTTGCATGCCTTCATGCCTTACCGTTCTAGGCATGCTAGTTTCTCTGCCTGCAATGGCCTGGACTCACCGCCTCCTTTCTCCATCTGGCAAATGGCTATCCTCCAAAGCCCAGTTCAAACATCACTGCCTCTCCCTCAGCCTCCTGACCCAAAGCAGACTTTAGCATTTCACTCATCTGACCGCACATGGCACCTAGTAGACAGGTATATTATACCACTGTCAATTATTATTATTTTTTGAGATGGAGCCTTACTCTATTGCCCAGGCCAAAGTGCAATGGCACGATCTCAGCTCACTGCAACCTCGGCCTCTGGGTTCAAGCAATTCTCCTGCCTCAGCCTCCCGAGTAGCTGGGACCACAGGTGTCTGCCACCATGCCCAACTTATTTTGGTATTTTTAGTAGAGATGGGTTTTCACCATGTTGGACAGGCTGGTCTCAAACTCCTGACCTCAGGAGATCCACCTGCCTTGGCCTCCCAAAGTGCTGGGATGACCAACATGAGCCACCACGCCTGGCCTATGTTACATTTTTCTACGCATCTGGATCCTGTTTCCCATTAGATAGGGCAAAGGCAGAAATCATTTCTTACCATCTTTGTTTCCAGGGGCTCTAGTATACAGCAAATGCTCTGAAACTCTCTGTAGAATAAACATATGCATTCATGTGCAAAAGAACTCGGCTCACACAGCACCAGAGCTGGCGAAGATCTGAAAGAATTCTACACATATGTGGGTAACTGGGCTAGCTGGCTTTGAATTCTTTCCATATACATATCCCCAACACACTTACTTAACAATGAAACAGAGAACTCAACCATGTTCCACTGAAGGATACAAACAGCAATCTCTGAAAGGGGGCAAACAGCAATGTGAAATTCCATCACAGCACCTTTGCTTTTCCCTCTTTTAAACAGAGGAAGTTTTGCTTGGAAAGGGGAAAAGCCTCCACTGCTAAAACTATAACTTTTGACACTGTCATAGTCTATTCACAGTCTGTTTTACATTGCTAAAACAGACTACCACAGACTGGATAATTTATGAAGAAATTTATGAAGGGTGGGAAGTTCAAGATTGAGGGGCTGGTGTCTGGTGAGGGCCTTTTTGCTGTGTCATAACATGGCAGAGGCCATCAAAGGGCAAGAGGGCAAGAGCAAGCCAGCTCAGGTCTCTCTTCCTCTTTTATTTTATTTATTTTTTTTGAGACAGAGTCTCACTCTGTCATCCAGGCTGGAGTGCCGTAGTGCGATCTTGACTCACTGAAACTTCCGCCTCTGGGTTCAAGCGGTTCTCCTGTTTCAACCTCCCAAGTAGCTCGGATTATAGGTGCCCGCCACCATGTCCAGCTAATTTTTTGTATTTTTAGTAGAGATGGGGTTTCACTGTGTTCCCCAGGCTGGTTGAGAACTCTTGAGCTGAGGCAATCCACCCACCTCGGCCTCCCAAAGTCCTAGAATTACAGGCGTGAGCCACTGCGCCTGGCCTCTCTTCCTGTTTTAAAGCCACCAGTTCCATTATGGGGGCCCCACCCTGATGACCGTATCCAATCCTAATTACCTCCCAAAAGTCCTACCTCTCATCAACACATGAACTTGGGGATTAAGTTCTTAACACATGAAATACAGAAGACACATTCTAATCATAGCAGACATGATCATGTTTACTTTTCCAATATAGGCATCTAAAAGTACAGAGACCATCTTTTATATTTCTCTGTATTTTCCACAACATTTAGCACAGTCTTATGTATTCAGCAAGAACTCAATTCAACAAATATTCGGCACTGCAATGATTATATAAAAATGCAAAGAGCTGCACGTGTTAGTAAAAGTAACACAAAATCTAGATACAAGTAAATTGAACTTTTTTTTTCCATAATGAAAAAAGTATATTTAAAAAAAGTATTCAGCAGACTGAGGCTTTTAACTCTTTTTTTTTTTTTTTTTTGAGAAGGAGTTTCGCTCGTTACCCAGGCTGGAGTGCAATGGCGCGATCTCGGCTCACCGCAACCTCCGCCTCCTGGGTTCAGGCAATTCTCCTGCCCCAGCCTCCTGAGTAGCTGGGATTACAGGCACGCACCACCATGCCCAGCTAATGTTTTGTATTTTTAGTAGAGACGGAGTTTCACCATGTTGACCAGGATGGTCTCGATCTCTTGACCTCGTGATCCACCCGCCTCGGCCTCCCAAAGTGCTAGGATTACAGGCTTGAGCCACCGCGCCCGGCCTTTAGCTTTTAACCCTTATCTGCTTTTTCTGTAAAATTATATTTTTCAAGTTTACTAAAAATTTACATTAAGTATTAATATATTGTAGCATATAATATATATTGTTATAAGCTTAGAAAGTACAATAAAGGCAGAGACAATCTAGATAGAAACTTTCCAACTACAAACACTAGAAACAATATCCATATCTTAATTTATATTTATGTATCTGTTTTGAGATGGAGTCTTGCTCTGTCACCCAGGCTAGAGTGCAGTGGTGTGGGCTCGGCTTACTGCAACCTCCACTTCCCAGGTTCAAGTGATTCTCCTGCCTCAGCCTCCCAAGTAGCTGGGACTATAGGTGTATACCGCCACAACCAGCTTATTTTCTGTAGAGACAGGGTTTCACTATGTTGGCCAGGCTGGTCTCAAACTCCAGAACTCAAGTGATCCTCCCGCCTTAGCCTCCCAAAGTGCTGGGATTACAGGCATGAGGCATCGCGCTTGGCTAATCTCCATGTCTTTAAACCACCTAGTAAGTATCTTACTTTTGACCAGACAAAACCTTGGTTGTTGAGCTCCAGGACATCTGTCTCTGAAACATGTTGCTGCCCATTTTCATTATAACTGCAACTGGAAATTACTTCATCAGTTAAATGACCTTTTCTCTTCCCCCCTTCCTCAAAGAGAATACACTGTATAAAATTTGAGGCAGAAACAAACATTAGCTTCCAATAAAAAAGAATGATTCAACTTTATTAGTAGGAAATTTTGGAGATAATTTATATTTGTGACCCAGATGCATGATTTTCAAATGTGAAAGGCACAAGCATATGATCATTTAGTAAAACTGTGCCTTAAGAGACCCCGAGAAAAGCAAGAGGCAGTTTCTCTTTTTGGTGGAGCGAGAAGACACTACTTCACTGACCATTTCCTTCCTGCAGTTTATTCCGAGTTCCTTTTGTCCGGTTCTTCCTCCTCAAACTCGACTAACGGAGTGTGTCTGCTGGCCTGTGCACCTTCTCTGTAGAGCACTTTCTTTACTGTACCATCCTTTGGAGCCTTTATGGTATGCTGCAGACACAAAACAGGACATATGATAGCTGCAATACTAATGAGGACCGAGTCTATACCGAGTCACGAAAGGGAGATTGAAAACGAAAACCGTGGCCAACCGTGATGCTGCCTTGTCACTTAGTGCCTTCCAAGGCTCTGTTGTTGTTTTCAACACCATAGCACACAGGGAGAAGGGCGACAGATTGAGAGGAACCCACACTCGGACACAGCAGTACCCATTCAAGGACATGACTGGGGAGCTCTGGTGTAGCTAGCAGTGCTCAACTCAAGCATCACATTAGAATTCTACCTAGGAAGCTTTCATGTTTTTTTTTTTTTTTTTTTTTAATTGAGACAGACTCTCACTCTGTCACCCACGCTGGAGTGCAGTGGCACAATCTCAGCTCACTGCAACCTCTGCTTCCCAGGTTCAAGTGATTCTCCTGCCTCAGCCTCCAGAGTAGCTGGGACTACAGGTATGCGCCACCACACTTGGCTAATTTTTGTATTTTTAATATAGATGAGGTCTCACCATATTGGCCAAGCTGGTCATGAACTCCTGACCTCAAATGATCCGCCTGCCTTGTCCTCCCAAAGTGCTGGGATTCCAGGTGTGAGCTACCGTGCCCGGCCTTTCAAAAGTACTGATCCTTGGACCCTAATCCTGGAGATCACAATTCAACTGGTCTGGGGAAGCAGTTTTTAAAATCTCCCCAGCTGACTGTACACACACTCCTTGACTTATAACGGGGTCAGGTCCAGATAAATCCAGTGTAAGTTAAGGAGCATACTCAACGTGGATGGCTTTTGCACCAGTGTCAAGCTGAAAAGTCCTTAACTGAACCATTGGAAGTTGAGGACTGTCTGCAATATTCAGCCAGGGCTAAGAATCACTGACCTACCAGTTGAGCAATCTAAAAACCTAAACAGCAAATTTAACTTGATTGAGGTTTTCACTTTGAAACTAACACCTGGCATCCTTGGTTCAGCCTTAGAAAATACTAACAGTTAACATTCAGTTGGGTTACTGCCTGATTCCAAGCTGTCGATAATTTCAGAATCAGAAATGACAGGTGCAATTTCACAAAATTAAAATAAAAACCCTTTCACAAGAAGGATAGTTTGGTTTTGTTTCCTACAATTAATGCTTCATCAATCTATGGCTCTTCATATCTAAAGTGGTATTAACTTACAGAATAAGGCAAAAGAACAATTCAGTCTGATCACTCCCAAAGTCCTTTCAGCAAGTGAACTCATGACATCACTTACCTCCATCTTCATGGCGATCATAACCATTAGGGAATCTCCAGCTTTCACTCTGTCTCCGGCTTTAACAAATACCTTGAAAGTCAGTGTGACAGGTTAATAATTTGAAAACACAGAGGTCCTAGATATGTTAATTGGCTTCATTATAGTAACCATTTTACTGTCTATATGTACTCATAACATCATGTTGTAAACCATGAATATACAAAATAAAATATCAATTAAAAGAAAGAAAACAACACAGAGGTCCTTTGTGGCCCATAGAGTTGGTCTATCAGCTTACAGAGCTGAAGCAGAGTCTATGTGGTTGTGTTATCTGCCAAAGACAAATGTACTGGTCACATCGGAGACCTACAGGTCAATCTGGCATTGCCGGCACTGTGGTCGGTGGGCAGCACTGCTTAATCCCCTGTCCCCACCCCCACAACCACTTAGTTTTGCTTGAATCACATGAATATACTCCATATATTCTGATATCCTTTCATGTTTTTCAAGAATGTACAAACAAGACACATTGCTAGTAGGGAAGGGGTTGTCTAGGACCAAGTGTAGTAAGTGTGAACTCTTCAGAGACCTGTGTAGTAAATGTGAAGACAATCTTCATGCAACAGAATTAAACTTATTAGCAACTCCAGAAATAAATGTCTATTTTCCTTTGTATACATATACATGGACTCATATATCCTACATGGTCTCACTTTTGTTTTGGTTCCCATGGTTACTAAGCGGGAGACTCAGAGAGTTGTGCAGAGATGCCGACACTATGAGAGGCCTGCGGGGACTGAAATCCAATGAGCTAAAGGCAGATCCAGGTCTCCCAGCTCAGACCCACTTGCAGGTAAATATTTCCAAAGGAGAATGGTGGCTCAAATCACCCACACTATTTAGGTCGTTATTTTCTTCTTTATTTTGTTGTTCCAAGAGTATATGGTTGAGTTTTTATGACTGAAGCATATTGGAGGAGACTCTACTGTATTCAAATATATAAAAAGGAGGCTACGGATACTGATCTATCACATTTGATGTTATGTTAGTGTGTGCTAGGGTCTAAATGTCTATAATCCTCCCAGGGTTCATTTGTTGAGATCTTGACCTCTAGGACGATAGTATTTGGACGTAGGGCCTTTAGCAGGTGATTAGGTCATGAGGGCTCTGCCCTCATGCATGAGATTAGTGCCCTTATGAAAGAGGCCTGAAGAGAGGTCCTGTGCCCATTCCATCACATGACCACACAGAGAAAAAAATGCTGTTTATGAAATCAGTAAGTAGACTCTCACCAGACACCTCATCTGCTGGTGCTTTGATGGACTTCCCATTCTCCAGAATCATGAGAAATAAATTTCTATTGTTTAAAAGCCACCCAGTCTATGGTATTCCATGATAGCAGCCTGAACTGACTCAGACAATATGGACTGCAACTCTGGATTATATACTACATTCAACACCAAACCACATTGTTCTTCACCGATACCAGCCTATTTAACATACTTAACACTTTAACACAGATGCAACTATGTACACTAAAGAAAATGTCATTATTTCATGAAAAATTTGCTGCTATTAAACATTCAAAACCAGCTTTTTTGAATAATGCTTAATGAAGGTTCAGTTTTAATCATAAAAAGACAATTTAGATTATTGGTACTTTGATGCAAATTCCTGCCTTCAAAAACGGCAATGCTTATTATAAATTAGGTAAATGGGTATTTTCACTGAAGACTGTAATACAAAACTTGAATCTGTAATAGATCCTCTTGTTTTTTTAAGTGGATGCTTCTACAGCTTGCCCATGAGCAAGGTTTAGAAAGGGAAAAGGACATAAATGACAAAGTTCACAAAGCCGTTTATTAAAGCTTACTGAACATCATTCTACAGATGTCATGTGATTACCTTTTCAATGGTTCCAGTCATAGGAGCTAAGGGGTCTCCCTGAGTTCCTTCTGAGCCCACAGAAGGTAAGTATTTGGGGACTGGAATGTCAATCTCAATACTTCCTTCCTAGAAATAGAAAACAAACTGAAAATGGAATCAAGATCCTATCACTGTATTTTTACTAATTTACCTGAGGTAATAACTGTTTCCCAGCTATTTGTTCAACATGAGTCATCATGGCCAGGCACCGTGGCTTGCACTTGTAATCCCAGCACTTTAGGAGGCCGAAGCAGGCAGATGGCTTGAGCCCAGGAGTTCCAGACCAGGGTAACACAGCAAAACCTCATCTTTACAAAAAATACAAAAATTAGCCCAGTGTGGTGGTAAGCGCCTACAGTCCCAGCTACTCGGGAGCTGAGGCAGGAGGATCACTTGGGCCTGGGAGGTAGAGGCTTCAGAGAGCCAAGATGGTGCCGTTGCACTCCAGCGAGGTGAAAGAGCGAGACTCTGACTCAAAAAAAATTAGTTACCATTATACCAGTGTTCTACTCTAGCTTTACGACCTTGAGCAAATTATTAAATCCCTCTCAGCCTTGGTCTCCACTGTAAAGGGGTAACGGTATACATGCCTCACAGTATATTTAAAGAATTAGTGCCAGGCCTGGAGGCTCACGCCTCTAATCCCAGCACTCTGGGAGGCCCAAGCAAGTGGATCACCTGAGGTTAGGAGTTCTAGAACAGTCTGGCCAACATGGTGAAACCCCGTCTCTACTAAAAACACAAAAATTAGCCAGGCATAGTGGTATGTGCCTGTAATCCCAGCTACTCGGGAGGCTGAGACAGGAGAATAGCTTGAACCCAGGAGGTGGAGGTTGCGGTGAGCTGAGATCGTGCCACTGCATTCCAGCCTGGGCAACAGAGCAAGGCTCCATCTCATAAAAAATAAAATAAAATAAAAATAAAGCATTACCCGTAGACAACAGGTAGCCACTGACTGGATGCCATTTTCAGTAGCATCCCTACTCTCAGCTGCTCAGTATGCTAGGCACTATTTTTAACACACATATATTACGTCATTAATCATCACAGCAACTCTATGAGGAAGGGACTGTGACTGTTATTGTTATTATTTTTTGAGATGGAGTCTCACTCTGTTGCCCAGGCTGGAGTGCAGTGGTGTGATCTCGGCTCACTGCAACCTCCGCTTTCCAGGTTCAAGCAATTCTCCTGCCTCACCCTCTTGAGTAGCTGGGACTACAGGCGCATGCCACCACACCCAGCTAATTTTTGTATTTTTAGTAGAGACAGGGTTTCACCGTGTTAGCCAGGATGGTCTCGATCTCTTGAACTTGTGATCCGCCTGCCTCAACCTTCCAAAGTGTTGGGATTACAGGCATGAGCCATCACCTTATTATTATTTTTTAGAGGCAGGGTCTCACTCTGCCACCTAGGCTGGAGTGTGGTGGCACAATCATGGGTCACTGCAACCTTAACTCCTGAGCCCATGCAATCCTCCTGCATTAGTCTCCCAGGTGGCTAGGATTACAGGCACACACCACTATGCCCGGCTAATGTTTAAAATTTTCTGTAGAGATGGAGTCCTGCTATGTTGCCAGATGGGTCTCAAACTTCTGGTCTCAGGCAATCTGCCTGCCTTGGCTTCCCAAAGTGTTGGGACTCCAGGCACAAGCCACTGAACCTGCTGTTACTGCTGTTACTGCTGTTGCTATTATTGCTGTTATGATTACTGTTTAGAGATAGGAGAACTAAAGCCCAGGTGGGTTAACAGCCCAAGGTCACACAGCTGCTAAGTGGCAAGCCCAAGATTTGAACCAAAGGAGCTGCACACTTGAGAGCTGTGTTCTTCACCATTCCACTACACGGCCTCTATCATCATCATTACTACAGCATCGCTGGCGATGGTAAGGAGTGCCTGGCAAAGTGAGATCATCCTCAGCGCCATATATAGTAGTTTAATTACTAGAATGCTAAAGGAATCTCATCACAAAGCACTGTGAGGCCACAACATATTTGATAATCCCTTATCCTCCTTCTGCCCAGGCAGCAGGCTCCTAACCAAAACCATGCAAAGCCTGCCTTGACTATCTTTTGACTGTCCAGAGACCACCACTCATGCCAGCCCCTTCCCTCTGTCCACCTTCCCCACAAGGAACATCTGGTCCACAGACCCCTCTCCCAGTGGGCACCTCCTCCAAAATCACCAGGATTCCAGCTGTCAGGAGGATGGTGGGTGGGGAAAAGTGTTCAGGCATCAAAGCCCTGAGATAATACCACCCATGGACCAGGGAAATACTCTCTGACAAAGAAAGCATAAGGATTTGTTTCAGAATTCAGGAAGAAAATGGATATGTGTATATCCATGAGCATCTGTGTGAACGAGAGAAGTGAATGGGAAACTGGAGAGGGCAGGAATTTGGCAAAGAAACACAGAATGGCAAGGGAACTGAGAGAAAAAGGGTCACAGCAGTGCTCGAAGGAAGCTGGATCTTTCTAATCTCTTTCAGTGAAATGTCTCTGGTCAAACAGTTTTCTCCCATGCCCCAGGACTGATGTTATAAAGAAGAGACAGTACCTTGGAAAACAGGTAAAGAGTGTTTTCCAGGATAAGCAGCTTAACTGTACTAGTAACTCCATTAACAGAACATTTCAGGTAAGTGCAGTCTCCCTCGCTGTAAATATCACCAAGGACTTGGAAAGTTTTATCTTCAATCTGAAAAAAACGAAAAATACGATCTTTAAAATAAACGGAAAACCTACAGAATTAATAAGGTCAGAACCAATTCTTCACTATTAGTAGTTTTAAAACATAAAATGTGTCTTAAACATATAAAATACTGTTTTAATTAAAAGTCATGAAACGTTCCCCCATTCCTAACCAAGATATTTTGTACAGAAATAACAGAATGACAATTAAAAGGAAAAAAACTTATCTAGCATATCCATAGCACCATGCTATACATAAAGGTTCATTTAAACATATAAAGATAGCACTAAAAATAAGAAATAAAAATACAAATCAGCCGGGCGTGGTGGCTCACACCTGTAATCCTAGCACTTTGGGAGGCCAAGGCAGGCAGATCATCCGAGGTCAGGAGTTCGAGATCAGCCTGACCAACATGGTGAAACCCCGTCTCTACTAAATATACAAAAGTACCCGGGCCTGGTGGCGCACTCCTGTAACCCCATCTACTCAGGAAGCTAAGGCAGGAGAATCACTTGAACCCCAGAGGTGGAGGTTGCAGTGAGACAAGATCGCGCCATTGCACTCCAGCCTGGGTGACACAGCAAAGCTCCATCTCAAAGAACAAAAAACAAACAACAACAAAAAACAAAAAAACAAGCTATGCAAAATTATTAAAATTTATTTGTTTATATTACATGTTTGTAATATAAACTCATTTCTGAGTATTTGAAGTTTTCCTGTGCCAGTCACAAAAAAAAACCCAGAACCACGTAATTAGATGATATTTCTTTTTTTTTTTTTTTTTTTTTTTTTTTT